TTATCTTTCTGTTACTATCTAGATTATTTATCTCCAGAAAATGGCAATGCTCTATCTGTCCCCATGAACCAAGTTTCTCATGGTTTAGAACGAAACATCTCTAGTCAGAAGATACAGAGTTCTTATTGCTACAAACCAAGCGAAACACCTTTGCCCGAAACAAGTAACTCCAAGCTTTGTAAACCTAACACCTTAAACTCTATATCTGACATTGATCGCTTCCAAACTATCTATAGTTTGATAGGTAGTTTTATTTAGACTGAGCTAACTGGCACGTGAGGAGCTCATGTGCTGTGCGCGGGCACGACGTCAATTATTATAAATAAATAAACTTGTTAGAGTCAAGCGAAATATCCTTTTCTCCTTTGTAGACAATCTAAACCACCAGATCTGACATTTTCGATATAGCATTTATCCCATATCTTGATACAGCTAACACAAAAAAGCCCACAAAAGCAAAGTAAAAGATTCTTCGAACTCCAATAAAACCGGAATTCGGCTCTACGGCAAAATTGTCACTTCACATCTTAGATACGAATCTGCTAGCTATAATGACATCAAAAGTATTCAAATTACCCAAACCCCCCACGTCCCCAACCGCTTTTGGATGCTAGGATTCCACATCACTGCCGTCACTAACCAAGACTTTGCTGACACATTCTCTTGCTCTTCGGCATTTCTGGCGGTATAAATCAGAGGAGTTAGGAAGAGACCAAGATGGGGGAGAGAAGCTTTCAGGCATACACATATGTGTTGCGTCCGGCTGGCCGGCCTCTTCAAACAAAAAATGGTAGCAATCTCTTCGGATTTAGACCTAGTGTTGGTATGATAAAAGTCCCGAACCCAGCGGTTTTCGCGATTTTTCCCGGCTAACATACACGCGCAAGTGGCTATCATTTCGTTGGCTGCAGAGCGGAGATAATGACAAAATAACGGCCTCTCTGAGTGTGTGCTCAAATGAATATTTCCGAGTGTATTATCGCTGTGCAGCAGTCGTTTGGAGACATAAAATCTCTTAGCCCGTAGGCAAAAAGGATCTACCTGTCCTTGTATATTTATAGGCTCACTAGAACAATAAACGTACAAAAAGATAGCAGACCACAGGTTATTCCGCCAGGTCTCTATTCGATCTGAGTCCTTGATATGAAGTGAGCACGGTGTTATCGATACTATTTCGTGCAGGTTGGTTTGAGAGCAAGGTTCGGTCTTTTTTTGGAATTTGTACTGTATGTTTAGCTATTCAGCTATTTACCTTTGAAACATGACAAATTCCTCGTATCCAATTAGATTATTCTTGATTTCGACACTCAATCTCTAATTTTTATATGCAAATATAATTAAGAGAGCAAGAACTATCACTCACCACTGAGCCGATGCCCTCACAATGGCTTGCCTGCCACCATTCCTGAGCAATTATCGTTTTGATAAGCTCGCTCCTCTGAGCTTAACGTTAAATGTATCTATATCAATATCCTAGTCACCTACACTACACTATTTCAACTGGTTAGATTAACCCGACCCATTCGAACTAATGTAATTATTAGATGCAATTCTATCATTATTCCAGCAACACTCTGTAGTGTAGAATCCCGGTCCAGTTTAGATTAAATGAGTAGAGTAGGGAGTAACGATATTCTGTAGCTTCGGCGTAGCCGGCAGAGGTGGAGCTTTTTCCTGACTCATGAGACGAGTAGAAGACCTTGGGTCGGCTAGATAACTTACGAACATTCCAGACTTCGTGGCCAAATTCGCGGGTTCATTCTCTCGGTATTTTTTGATTGACCCTGCTGGATCTTCTTCCTTGCCTCGTGTTAGGGAGGCATAGTTATGCCTAACTTGTGGCTCTTTCCTGCGATGACCAGAAAATAAGCTCTATAGTTCCCACAAGCGGCCTCTGAGCGGTCGAGGTGTGGTCATTAGTTTGCAGTAGACTGAGTTCCTGACACCGTGATTAACACTGGGTAATTAGCGAGTTCTCTATAGATGATCACCTAGAATTTTCCCATCTCTGACTCTTGCGATAAATTGTAGTAAAAAACTATTTATCATCCCAATACGCCGAATATCCAACTCCCGAGATAACTTGTCATATTCGGATCATGCATATAGTTAATGTTACACGGGCGGGATGAAAATTCGACAATTATCAGATGTGTCTCCAAAGAACCTCGAGCTCTCACTGTAGGATCTGCACAGCTGAGTTTTTGTTCATTTCTAGCTAGGAGAGCTTCTTGCCGCTGAATCCATGACATTCCCCACAACCAAAGGTGAGATAAAGTAGTTGAGCTTGACAAACTCATATCATACTGTTATGAATTTGTTAGATGTAATCCAGATGCGGCGGTGCAGGGGCTATTTTCCTAATTCGATTATGACTGAGCCAATAAGATTTAGATTTAGTCAAGCTACACGTTTGTAATTGTTGTCTGGTCCGGACAGTTTGGTTTTTTGAGGATATGCTTATTTGGAATTCGCTATTTGATATTTTGATAATTTGAACATCTGAATTCTTAACCTTTGATAACCTAAACTTCAATTACTCTACTTGTATCTTCGTAATCAATTCGCGCCTTCGCACATCCGATAAATTGTCTTCGTCGAAACTGACTCCAACTCTGCAGCTTAACAGCTTCGAAAATCTGCCAATAAGTAGATTCATAACACATATACACTTAAGACCCTTCTGGTATTTCAACTCAGCTTCCAATTCCTCCCGAAACGCCAGGGAGGGAGGTAACTCAAAGGAGGCTAGGGATATGGAGAGAGCTTCTCTTAGGCACCCACTACTCTAGAGCGCCCAGCTGGCCAGCGTCCAGGAATGTTTCAGAGTAGCTATTTGTTTAGTCTTAGTCGTTGGAATAGAATTAGAATAGAACTTTATTAATGTCCCTACTGAGTCTATGACCATGAAGGACAGCCAATACTATCTAATTAGCTTTAAAGTTAATAATAAACTTGGATATTGATGTGCTTAAGATTTGCCAATAGATAATGAGGGTCATGCCGTATTTTAAGTATCAGTCATTATGTCGGTATTAGGACAGCCACATAATGTGATCTTTTCAACTTATCCTATGCGCGATATACTCACAAAATACTATCTTTTATTTGCTTATAATGGGGAATTAACGAAGAGTAGACGGTTCCTCTAAATTGATGATCGAATCATAACTTGCTGTGGATCAGAGTGTTGTATGAGGCCAAATCGATGATGGAGAAGAATATGCATTATTTGACGTAGAGGTCATTTTGATCTGTGAGAAGAAAAGACCTTCATATCTCATGTAACCATAGATTACGATGGGAAATTAATTACGACAAGAAAAGATACTCGAAAAGTGTATGTTGGAAATGAAAATACAGTGTTTTACATTTGCGGGCCCTCTGTTTTGTCTAGGTTCCCGACACTATTTTGTGTTCAATGTAGAGGTTGGAATGAGGGCTGGCGTCTTCGTTCATGACAATAGACCCAAGAGAGTTAATAATTCTTCGGACCGGGCAAGTTCGGCTAAAGTAAATTTTACCGACCCCCTAATTTTCCAGCCAGTCTAGAGCTTTAAGTTGATGGGCTTCACAAGTACCGGTGAGCACTGGAACTGCAGGGTAAATTTATCCAATGTCTCAGGAGCCCAACAGATCTATATACAGTAACTTCATTTTTAATCATCTAACATGTTTTCAGCTACCTAGCTATGACATATAATCAATGCTATGTAAATATGTTGGATGACTCTTTTAACGTTAGGGACACTCGTACTATGGCTTTCATTTGCCAATATCGCTTTGAGGTTTGCTTGCCTACCCAAAAAGTCGACCCTCCCCTACGAGTATCCACAAAAGGGAATTTCAAACCCTTTTATTATCCAAACATGTTTTCAATATCCATGCCTACTAGTACCGCTAAAAATGTGGTTGTCTTTTGCCAGATTCAAACCAGCGATCTCCTATCTCAAGTGAAATAGGTGTCAAAGCTATCCAGAGTCTACTTGGAAGACCAGCCAAGACGATGTACCACCGCAACATCTAAATATAGCTACATTTATACTGGCGCCTGCACTCTTGTAATCAAAGTCTTGGCGCGCATAAAACTCAATTTGAAAAATTCTTTTCCAAAGTTCGGAATTACACGCCCGTCGAGATTGTATCCATACTCTGTATCAATTTATAAAATTTTCCTGTCTGTATCATTTCAATCCTAAAGAACTGTCTCCTAGATTTGTGTGCCACGCCTTATTTCCTCTGTCGGGTATAAATACTGCGTGGGCGTGTATTTCGAGGCTTGTTGAGGACCAAGACTGATTTGATGAGAGGTTTGGTCATAGAAATGAGGATATAATAAGTCATACTTATAAACTTGATGAGGTTTTGGTGGAAATCGATCACATTGAAAGGGAGAATTTGATTTCGTGTTGAGTATTTTGAATCATTGCCTCGTGGACCAGCTTGTCCGGTATCACGAGACTTGATAGAACTTGGCTCTAGGAGAATTTTTTACTCCCAGGTTTATAGAGGACACCGCACACAGGTGTTGAGCCTTTGCCCTCCTTGAAACAACTTATTTTTCTTTACTAGGAAGAAATAAAAACTTTGACGCTACTTGATGGCCTCTATATCAAATTATAGTGTCATAGTATCATGTTAAATGTGAATTGATACCGATTGAGCGGCAGCACATAATTTTCAAGGTTTTGTGTTCAAATGAATCTAGGTCGGCTAATTAAATCTGCTTTTTTACTTTAACTTTATCTATGTATAAGAGGATGCTAGCAGCTTTGACTCTGAGTCGTCCGCATTTTCGTATTTTTCATATTTTGATTGATAGTCCTATGATGGCCAGGTATGCACTAAGATATTGTGTACTAGTTCGTTTCGGAAAAATTTTAAATGTTCATGCAAGTTGAGATGCATTTGACTAGATGCGTCAGTCATAAAATTGCCGCAATTGTCCCAAAATTTTAGATAAACTAAGATTAAACTTCTTACTTTTAAATACATCACACCTAATCAGGAAGATTAAACCAAACACCGCTTGGCATATTCAAGGGGGTTTCTAGTTCCATTGTCTCCAATAGCTCAGAAAGGTCAACAGCATCGGATCGCAATAATAATGTTGAGTCCCAAGCTAGTCTTGCACTAACTCGAACACGTCGTAAATTAGGTAATAACTCTTGATCTATAGCATGGAATATAGCATTTGGTGTAATGTTTACCTCTGAGTCGGCTGATGGCGAGCATTCTAAGTCTAAGGCCCGCAAGGGATGGCTTGGGGGGATCCTGGTGAAAATCTCATCTGTTATGTAGTCTGCAGAAATTCGGAGAGCAACTAAAGAAGGGCAATATTCAAGAACGTAATTCAATGTTCCACGAGATATTTGGGGTAAAGGATGTCGAATTGCAAGATGCTCTAAGTTTGAACCAAGTTTTGAAAGGGCAAAATTGATAGAAGATGCTCGTAGCTGGGGACAATGTTGAATACTTAATGTCGATAAGGTTTTTGGAGCACTGTGTAATTGATAGAAGATGAACTGATCATCAATGCTGCAAGCAATGTGAAGCGCTTTCAGCCGCGGAGGCCAGGTGTACAACTCAGAAGCAGCGTCTAAGTCTTTATTTGAACTCCGGGGAAAGAATAATATTTCAAGGTGGATGAGCGATTTTAGCGTCTGAAAAAGTGACTTATTTGATATAGACGCCGAAATGAGTGATAGATTCAGGTATCGAAGTTTTGTACATTTGCATAAAGCAGCAAAACTATTTACCGCAAACGATACTTGAGGCGCCACGAATGCTTCCAGGTTACCCTTCAATCGCCCAAGAAGTCTAGCTGTTAGGCTTCGACTAGAATTGTGTACTAGTCCTCCCATGTCGAGATGGCGTACGAGAGTAGCTAGTGGACTTGTGCGTATGTGCGCATTCTTGGAAGGGCATATTGTCGAAACAAATTGATCAAAATTACCTCCACTAAGGTATGGTTTTTCATACAGAAATCGAATACTAGCTGAATACCAGGCTCTTGAGACTAGCGTGCAAGCCCAGAGAGTTGGCTGGTAAGAGTTTTTGAGACGAATGAAAGATAAAATATGTTCAATGATTTCAAGGGGTAGAATGTCTTAATATACAATCGCAATAAGCAGCGATACAGGTTAACGATAGGGCGGAAATTCTTACTCGACTGTGGGGAGTTGTACATAAAGTTTTTTGATTGCAGCTCCCTGCAGACCTTAGCCATACAATCAATGTGAAAGTGAATTGTACGATTAGATTTTCAGAGTCAAGATCCGTGTCATACCATTGTTGAAGATTGCGTCGGGGTGCGATGGGCAAAACTTCAAACTCCGAGTAACGCTTAAGCTGTCGCCTATCAGTGAGATGATCGTCCAAACTAGGCACGCGTACTGATTACGAAACTTGATTCGGAGGGAAAATCCGAACAGCTTTGCGGGGTCTCCATTAGCCTCCTGGTGGTTCTCCGCAATGTATTTTGAGGAGTCTGGGCATCCGCTCCGTCTGGGAAGGAGACGCCTAACACCACATTTAGCGCGGAGATCAGTCAATGAATGATGAAGGCATGTCTGGATATCTCGGGGCATTGGAGAATTTTCCCTGTGCGGGTATTCATGGATGAGGGCTAACATGGGGCGAAGAAAAAGCCGCCATAATTTCGCAGTGGTACTTGTTAACGAAATCCGACGCATGAGGGTTCTTCCTTTTTATTGAGTCACCTATTCTGTAGTTTTCTTTGAAATTGTGTCATAGCTAGATAGCTGCATACACAATTAAAATCTGTTTCAAAAAAAAGAGGTGACCACTGCTAACCTGCGAGTCAAATATCTCCCAGAGTAGTGAGTAGTCAAATTTTTCTAAAACAAAAGAATCTCGCCCGCGAGGTAATGATCCAAGACTTTTAATCACGTCAATTTTCTGCTCTCAAGTAGATCTATTCTGACCCAAGCTTCGTCTATTTTACAAATACGACCAATTGAACCCTTTATTCGATGCAAAAACGTCTCGTTAATTCGGGTTCTAACCTTAAGTGGCCGTAACGGCTTGTGAGCCTATTGTTATATGGCACGTGATTGTATTCACGTGCTTCTATAATTCTAGAGTAGTCTAGTTTTATTCCAGGTCAGCTCAGCTGTGACTGAAATATTCTAGTAATTGGTAGCAAGACTGTGAACTACTATGACTGAAATATACGAGAAGCAGATATCAGCCAAGAACGAATATTCTAGAGATCTTCATGAATGTATAAATAGTTGAAGTAATACTCTGACAGTTAGCCATAGAGAAAATTAAAAACTACCTTCGTATATCTGATTGCTCCAGCATCAATACTCAAACCGTGACAGTGGCCTCCAAATATACATCCACGCTGATATCAACACCTGAAGAAAGAGTTAAATCGTGCCGCACATATCTGGGAAGCTAATCTTTGTGATAGACGTGAGAGAGATCAAGATAGGAAGTCAAAATAATACTAGGGATGGATACAATTTTGACGGGCGCGAAATTCCGAAATTTGGAAAGGACTTTTTCAAAGTGAGCATTTTGCACATCACATCTTGAATCTCGATAGAACAAGTGACACTATAAATCCTGCCGTGGTTGGATGATGCAGTGGCATATCATCTGGATCGGTCTCCTAAGTAGATTCTGGGTAGCTTGGACGCGTATCCCACCTGAGATAGATTATCATTGGTATGGGTCAAGTAATACCACACAACGTTTGCTGTTGTTTTATTGTACTACTTGAGTCATAGACTATCTAGCACATTGGACTCCTCTCTGGCCCAGGCCACACCTTGTACAGTGTTCCTATCCTCTTTTGTTACTTGAAAGATCATGGATATATTTCCCTTGATGAATAGCCATTCAGCTCAGTATTTACCCGTGGAATTCGGCCACCTTTTCCACGGGACCTTCTACCCAAAAAATAAAAATGGTAGCAATGTAAACTGCGTGCGCGAGAAAAAGTCTCAAAAAACCTGCAGCCCCAGCCAGGCGAGGCCTAGACTCCGGGACCACATGAGATGCGCATATTCATCTATGTCTCCCTTCTTTGTAACAGTCGAGGCCGACTTGATCCAATCCACCATCTCCGTATCGGGTGCTGGGTACGCTCCGGAAACTCACCGGATGGCTTTTCCTCCGTGATCAAGGTTTGGTGATGAGTAGAGCTCCGACCCTACCATCTGAACTGATCGTGGTTAGCTTCATGATAATGGTGATAGGGGAATGTGTTGAGAGATGAAGACGATACAGACTGCGAAAGAGATTGGGAATCCTCGTCGAAGTGAGGACTTTGTTACTCAATCTCGGCCCAACAGACTCTACAGTGAGAGCTGAAGGTTCGTAGGGGACACTACTGACAGGTGTTGAGAATAGTCCCCAGGCCATCTTTCGTAATTACCCACCAAAGGGATGCTTCAAAACTTTTTATGATTCAAGCATGCCTTTGTCATCCATGCACAAGAGTACCGCGAGAAACATCGTGTGGTATTACTCGACCAGATCCAGATGATATGCCACTGCATCATACAACCACGGCGGTATTTACAGTGTCGCTTGTCCTATCGCAATCGAAGTTGTGATGTGCAAAATGTTCAATTTGAGAAATTCTTAGCCAAATTTCAGAATTTCGCACCCGTCAAGATTGAATCTATCCTCTGAATCATTTTAAATACTTGTCCTGATTACTCTAACATCCATCCCAAAGATCTGCCCCCATATTTGTGCGGTATGATCTATCTCTTTCTTCGAGCATTGATATCGAGGTGGGCGTACATTTAGTCGCCAGCTGAGGTCAAAGAAAGTCTAAGAGAGGTAAGTTTACCAAAATGAGGATTTAGTAAGCGGTACCTGTAAAATTGATGAGGTCTTTCTTGGGATCGATTTCGTTGTGTGGGAGAACTTGATTTGGTGGAGGGTATTTAATCATTGCCTTGTGGGCCATCTTATTTGGTTTTGCGAAATTTGACAGAGCTTTGCTCTTGAAGAATATTTAACTCCCAGGTTCACAATGGTCACTGCTGATGGGTGTTCTATCTTTATCATGTAATTGCCTAACACATTTGCCCGAGACTACAGCGTTACAATACTGCGCGCAACTCAAACTGGAATTGGAAATACAAGAGCATAATTATGTTTAATTGGAAAGATGATAAGTGTAGTTTCTGCCATTCAAAAAAGTAGACAACAAATCATTTGACCTTTCATTGCACAAAATTTAGGAAACGAGAACTTGCATTTGCTGATATCCAAACAAGGATATTACCAATAGCTCTAAGAGGTAAAAGATGAAGGGAAGCCTTACTACAATCTTCGAAAACTTCCAAGTGTGTATCATTATACAAAGGAGATATATTAGGCACACAAACAATGGGAATAGGAGAGGAATAGGTGTACTGTGGTACAAAATATGGGGACAAACCATTGTTTTTGTTAAGTTCATAGGAAGGTTAATTTTTACAGGTGTTTGAATTATTCGACATGCTTGATTTGTTTGTAAAGATAAATTGTTGAGGCTAAATAGCTGAATACAATATTAATTAAAAAGAAGTATTACGCGCTGGTCTCGCTTGGAAATCCCTATAAATTTTTAGCAAACACAGGCGTAACTTTTCCATTGAAGTTATCACCATGGCAAGCATTTGCAAGGAGGGTCTCATCTACAGCTCCAAGTCTCGTTCCCGGCCACCTAATGAGGCACTAATCGACCCAGTTTACGGCCAGCGAAGCGCTCTTCCAGGCCTGGACGATGTCTACGTCGCTGATGATTGTGTAGACTCCACCAATGGTATCGGGATTGAAGCCCTAGCTTATTTAAGAGCCGTGAGGTAAAACTACCAGATAATTCCCCCATGATCTAGCATTCACGCTAAATTTAGGCAGGAGGCAATAGGTATTCCGAATATCCTTGTTGCACCAAATTCACCCTCCAAGGCTGACAGCGACTACAAATTTAATATAAAAGTAGGCAATTCAACCAGCAAATACGAAGACGGTGCGTACCTTTCTCTCTGCGAGGATATTCATGAATTAGATCAGGATATCGACAATCAGGAAGTCGATAGTCAGAGTGGATACTTTCAATCTATATTGATGAGATACAAAGCTCTTCGGACTCGTCTACAACAGGAACCACCCGATGATCTGGTTTCTCAACTAGATCCTAACAAACGGACTCAACTTGGCCCATTAAACAGGAATCTCTCTAAATGGTGGATCGACCACATGAAAAATACCGACCCAAATCCTATACAAATTGCTTGTATGAATAAAATTACTGTCCTAAGGTTATTGGGGTTGCTTTCCCAAGGTACCGTCCTGAAGAGTGGATTGAAAGTTGGCGTGAGCGTCAGCCGATGGTCATGGAGTCTACTAGCAAGACTGCCAGAGAAAGGTAACTTAACGAGCGAAGAAATTGCAGTCATAAGAGAGCTAGCAAAAAAGGCCATCTCGATTGGTATAAGCTTGGAGGAAATTAAGAGCAATGATACTAGCTTACAGGAATCCCAAGACGAATTCAACGATGTTTTCTACGCTGATCAAGCTTGCGAGTCTATCGATGACTCGCTAAACACGCAACAAACCAAAGACAATGAGCTTAAACCAGGTAGTGGCATATTCTCGCTCCCTGAGGTACTGCATTCGGAGAAAATTGAGTCAACTCCATTAGATGAAAGCTTGAAAGACTCTATTCAAGTTCCAGAAGACTGTGAAGAGCTACATGATATTTCTCTTTCATTTAATATGTCGATTGAGGGACTTCAAAAAAGTCTGACAGAGAAGGAGCTATCTGGCCAATCATCAAAGTCTAACATTTCAAAGCTTGAATCGGAGGATTTGTTAGCTGCCAAATCACGGATAATACAACGACTTCATGAGGATGGGTACCAAGAAACGGTAAACTTGGAACCTGAAATAACATCGCAATATCCTTTCCAAGGTCATTCCTATTCCTTGTCAACATATAATTTTCCCGCGACGGTTGATATGATCTTAACGATCGTTGGAGAGGCATATGGACAAAGAGATCTTCTGGAACGAAGAGTTAACTGGGGCTATCATCTGTAACTAGCGTAGGTGATTTTAGTTTCGCTTCTTAACCTTTATTTATCGACTCCTTGTCCCTTTTTTCTTAAAAACATCACCAAAATGAAGATACAAAATCTTTCTTCGTCAGAATAGTGACCAAGGATAACCAAGGCTTAAAATTCATATAACATAAGTCTACTTTTTTGGATCTAAATTAGGTATTCTAGAAAGAAACCAAATTTCTTAGAACATCTGCTTCTAAAGCGATAAAAAATTTGAGGGTGACCATTCGGTGGACACCAAAGCGACTAACGAAAGAAATTATTATTCCCTATCAAAAACTCCAACCTATCGAGGAGTTTATTTCTTCAGCTTTATATCCGCTCATACGACGCAACTTTGACGGCTCCAGACTGTGATCAAATTATATTTTTATCTGAGCTTTCCCAGCAACTATCCCAAAACCGATGCAAGCCTCAAAATTCCATTGATTTTGTTTTCACATAATTTTATTAAACTCCAAGACTTTCTAGAGACTAAACTTTAGCTTCGGAGTCTTGAAAATTGGTCTAAACGCAGTAAAACCTTGGAGGGAACCTAAAATTCAGTTTCCATAAGGTATAAAATTACTATATTCACCAACTAAAATAGACAGATGAGGGTTAAAATTGGCCTACTATCTAGTCCGCATTCAAGATTATATAGATTTTTAGCTGAAGTCACTGACCTTTAGAGTCTAGCTGGACGAATAATCGAACGGGTGATTAGCATATTTTACTATTCCTAGCAATCAGATGATATCTTTGACTGCTTAACAATCAAGCTATTAGCTAGCCAGCAAAGACAAATTACTTACATTTCAGAAATGCCGCCATCAGCGCTCAATACGGTCTGCATATCTAGAGTAGCCAAGAGAATCGTATCTGAATCAAGGTCGAAAGCCAATAGTAGCATATCTATTACTGACGACTTCTAGTCATCGTCAGTCCCAATAGTTTCATACGAGTCATCTAACTCAATCTTACCATTTACAATCTTGTCTCATGGACTGATCATGGGGCTGCTTCATTTTTGAACTGAAGCTTGCCTTATAAATATCCAGCCATGTTATCGCGTGATTGCCAGGCCTCTAATTTGCTGTCTCCTAAGTGTGAGTTTTCTAAAGGGAAGCGAATAAGAAACTAAATTTGAAAGAATGCTAAGCGAATTCAAAGAATAGAATGTATGAGATAGATTGTGAAGCTGGGGAACTCTGCACCGGCCGTATCCAGCCCATAAGTACCCCAACATATACCGAATCAAACGCTCGGCGTTAACTGTCCGACACAATGCCAACTACAAGCAAAGGCAATTCTAAACAAGAAGCGAAGCACATATAATCCATATCGCCCGTGGTTTTTGAGAATTTTCCGTGCAGCTTAACACCCGCAAATAACTATCGTTTTGTTGGCTGGAGAGGGGAGATAATGACAGGATAACGGCTCCTATTAGTGTGTACTCAAATGAAGACCTGTGGGAGTGTTACTGCTGAAAAGAAACCCTGAAGGAAGAATAGATACTCCTGCACTGTAGGGAGAAAAGAGCCACATGTCCTCTCAAAGTCATAGACTCAATAAGAAAATAAACATAAACAAACAATTCATATCGTCCTATATCTCTGCCCCTTAGCATTATCCTTTAGTAAGCTTTCTATTATTTTCCTGCCTGAGGATATAATTAATGTGAATCCAAAAGGCCATCTCTAATTATAAAATTACGATGATACGTATACTCGTATGGAACAAATGAGTCGTGGGGTTTAAAAACTGGCATTTGGATTGTTGAGAGTCGCTGTTTCAATGGAGATCTATAAATTGAGGGAGGACAGGCAACTGGGACAGGAAACCAGAAATGGAACAGGTCATCAATGGGCTTGTTGAGGTTGGAATTATATATATATATATATATTTGAATATCCTGATTTGGCGCCTTGAGGCACATGCAGGTTTTTATCGGAAGGTATGTACTTTAAGTAGGATGACTCAATTTGACATTTAGAACACTCACACTTAGATTTCTTCTGCAGTTACCACTCGAGGTTAACCCTTACGGCGTATAACCTCTTCCGTGCATACTCACCACAGGGAAAAGCGTGAAAACCCTGCGGCTATCCGAGTGTGCTTTCATCATCCCACAAGTACAGTATCACCGCGATAGATAGTGATTTGTGGGGTTTACTGGGTCCAAACCAGCTTTCTCCTGTCTCGAATGGGATAAGTGTTCAAGCTACCCAGTATCTGCTTGGGAAAATGGCCCGGATGATATACCACTGCACTATCCAACCCCGAGGTTGGTAATATTGAGGGCTTTCGAAGTTGGGGTGTAGGTGTGGGCAAAAACCAGTGTTTGGGATAGCCACACCGCCACTTTAAAAACAAGACGAATTATGTTTGATCCAGTGGACGGAGATCTGAAGAAATGACTCTGATTATTACGTAAAAAAATTAATCTTTTGATAAACGACATCAGGGAACCCAGACGAGGCGCAGGGCAACTGACCTAGACATTGTCTCTTTAGGGGGACTATTCTCAACAACTATCAGTAGTATCCCCTACGAGCGCTCGGCTCTCACTGTAGAGTCTGCAGAGCCGAGATTGAGTAACACCTTATCAACTTTGAGCTGAGTTATCTCCCCCTCCGTCAAAGATACGCTTCCGATAACTCATAAGACGACCAAGACGATAATAATGGTGCTAGGAATGAGGAAAGATAATGCGGTACCAAACGCTATAACGGTAGTCAGAGAAGCCCTCGTTATATCACAACATGTGCTACCAACAGGCGGGTGAACAAAAAGCCCACGAAAGCAAAGTATAAGACCCTTCAGCCCTCAAGAAAACCAGATTTCAACTTATCAATAACATCGTTCCTTCTTGTCTATACTTCGGAACCTACTAGCCAGGAGGGGTTCTAAAATGCATCAGTTACTCGACAACCCCACGTCCCTAACGAATTTTGGATGCTAGGCTAGGCTTCTTCACGATAGTCACTCTGGACCAAGATTTTTCTGACATCCTTGTGCGACCTTCGGCTTTTCCTGCGGCATGAATCAGGGGAGGAGTAAGAAGGATGCCAGGAAAGTTGAGAGGTTCTCTTAGGTATACACAGGTCTGCTGCACCCGACTAACTGGCCTCTTCATCATAGGGGAACCTCGCACCCAGTGGTTTTTGAGAATTTTCCCTGCAGCTACACGCTCGCAAATGGCCATCGTTTCGTTGGCTGGAGAGGGGAGATAATGATGGGATAACGGCTCCTCATAGTGTATACTGTAATGAAGACCTGTGGGAGTATTACTGCTGGAAAGAAGTCGTGAAGGAGGCATAGGAGGGGGTACACTACCCGAGTCATGGATATTCTTGGCCTATAGGCAGAAGGGACCTACATGTTACTACATAGTTATAGACTCATTAGGACAATAAACACTCACTCAACATTGGAGTTATATTTACATCAATGAGAGAAATACCCACTAGTCTTTTTTTTTAAATCATTTTATTGTCCTGTCTGAGTCTATGACTATGTAGGACATGCAGGTCCTCTCTGCCTACAGGCCAAGGATACCTATACCAGTAGTATATCCCATCCTATGCCTCCCATACAGCTCCCCTCAAACAGTACCACCCCTCACGAGTCCTCGTTCGATCATACACTTAGAGGAGCCCTTAGCCCTTCATTATCTCCCCTCTCCAGCCAACGAAACGATGGCCATTCGCGGGTGTATGGTAGCCGGGAAAAATCGCAAAAACTAGTGGGTGCGGGGCTCTCCTAATACCGACATTAGGACTAAATCCGAAGACATAGTGATCCTTCTAAAGCGTTCGAAGAGGCTGGCCATCTGGGCGCTGCAGACTTGTGGATACCTCGGGAAATTCACCCTCTGCCTTTCTAGCCTCCTTCCCGAAGGTCGTGCTGAAATTTCAGAAAAGTCTTGACAGAGCGTGATTGCTGTATAGTAGCTTAGCCCAACTTCTTTTGTACCGTCCAGGGCGCTGGGGAGTGCCGTTGACTCATCGACAGAAGAAGTCCTCCTGGTTAATTAGCCGAAATATTGGTCTTGGCGCCCACAAAAACTCCAAAGTTGAAAACCCCTAGAAAATGTTAGTCACAGCACGGTCTTCAGAGTCCTGTATCCCCTCTTTCTCCCTATCTCAGGCGCCTGTTCTCCCTCAATATGTATAACCCCATTAGAGCAACAGTCTCCCATAAACTAAGACCCCACCTTTGTATTTTTCGACTTGATTTCCTCCTTGCGGGTATAAATAGCGTCATAAATTTGTAGTGAGAGATGGCTGGAAATTAATGGGGCAAGGTCCTGTTTGCCATTGGAGCAACCTCTTTATTGGTTGTCCAGGCGAAATGATGCGTGGTCAGAGAGGGGTTGAGGACTGTGATGAGTATGATAAGAGAGGCATTGTCGAGAAGTAGTCATATAGAGATGTGCTTGAGGTTGCTTTAGACTCCGATTCGTATGCGATTCCTCTTGGCTATACCAGATATACAGAGCATACTGAGCGATTACACCGGCACCACTGGAAGGTGAAGAATTCGTCTTTGCCGGCAAGCTGACACTATAAAAACAAGTCAACGATGGTAGGTGCAATGGTCCGCTTCTTGGTGGTGTTCTCTGGTATGGTTTAAGTGGCCTAGGCACCCACTCCACTTGGGAAGGAGACATCTAAGACCATATTTCGCGCAGAGAAAAGTAAATAGATGACGGAGGCATGTCTGGATAACTGAGGGCTTTTGAGGCGTTTCCCTGGGTGGGTATTCACGGATGAGGGTTGACTTAGGGTGAAGAAAAAGCCGCCATAATTTCATAGTGTCACTTGTAAATGAAATCCGAGACATGAATGCTCTTTCTTTATATTGAGTAACCTATTTTGTACTTTTCTTTGATATTTTGTCATAGCTAGATAGCTGCATATGCAATTCAAATCAGGTGCAAAAAAAGTCGAGGTACACTGCACTACGTAAATGTCCAAACGTACACGCAACATT